GTAGCAGACATAGCAAAATGTCCCTTATCTGATTATTCAGTTATGCTGGTTAGTAATTCCATACATGAGCCCTGGATACCCACAGATAAATGTAAAAACCTTCCCTAAAAGCCGAGACTGTAAATTCCAAAAAGGCAGAGTTTTTCCCAGAAAAAAAGCTAAAGAGGATAGAGAGAAACTCTGTTATCTGATGGTATGTGGAGGGGATTATAATCAATGTAATGAAACAAGGTATATGAATGTTTGAATGTGAAACCGATAATGTGCCCTGAAAACTTTCACTCAATCCACAATAAAAACAAAACAAAAAAAAAAATCTGGTTCCAGGAATTCACAGAATAAAAATCAAAATCTTTCAACAAAATGATGCAGCACTGCAGGATCTCATGCATCTCTGCCAAGAAATTTGGAAGACAACTACCTGGTCAACCAATTGAAAGAGATCTGTATTTGTGTCCATTCCAAAGAAAGGTTACCCAATGGAAAGTGGAAATCATCAAACAATATCATTAATATCACATACAAGTAAAATTTTGTTGAAGAAAACTCAAAATGATTGCAACAGTACATCAACAGGGAGCTGCCAGAAATTCAAGCTGGATTCAGAAGAGGATGTGAAACTAGGGATATCAGTGCTGACCTTCGATGAATTTTGGCTGAAAGTAGCGAATATCAGAAAGATGTTTACTTGTGCTTTACTGACTATGCAAAGGCTTTTGACTGTGTAGATCATGAAAAGTTATGGCTAACACTACAAAGAAGGGTAGTCCAGAACACTTAACTGTGCACATGAGGAACATGTGCATAGCCCAACATGCAGTTATTAGAACAAAACAAAGAGGGAACAGTCCCTAGAGAAGTCCCTTGGTAAAATGGAGGGTTAGCCACGGAGAAGACCTTCAATGAGATGGATCAGCACATGAACAGTAGCAATGGGCTCAAGCATAACAGCAACTGTGAGGATGTCACAAGACTGGGCAGTGCATAGTTCTGCTGTGCACAGGGGTGCTATGAGTCAGAATGACCCAACAGCCCTTAAAAATAACAAAAAGCCATGGTGTTTCATTCTGTGATGTATTGCAAACCCTAGCCTCTGTGCTTCTAATTGTGGACCCATTTTGAAGTGAGTTGTAAATGAGGCAGAATTAATATGGAAGTCCTGGTGTGGCACTGTAGTATCAGCATTGGATGGCAGCTCAAACCCACCAGTTTTCCCATGGAAACTCTATACAGGGCCCCTAAAAGTTGGGTCTAACCCAATGGCACTTAATGACAACAAAATGGCACTTAGCAACAACATCACTCTCAGTGGTGAGAAACTAAAGTCATTCTGCTTGCAAACAAGAACCAGACAACGATGCCCTTTATCACCATTCCTATTCAATATTGTGCTAGAAGTCCTAGCCAGAGCCATAAAGGAAGAAAGGGAAATGAAAAGCATCCAAGTTGGCAAAGAAGTAAAACTCTCTGCCTGCAGATGATATGATCCAATACATAGAAAATATCAAAGACTCAGCAAAAATATTTACTGGAATTGATTGAAACATTCAGCAAACATACAAGATCAAAATACAAAAATCAACTGGATTTCTCTACACTAATGAAGACAGCTCTGAAAAGGGTGTTAATTAGGAAAACAATACCAATTAAAATAGCCACCCAAAAGATTAAATAAATCTCACCAGAGAAATAAAAGACCTATATAAAGAAAACTACAAAACACTACTCCAAGAAACCATGAGACAAACAAAAATGAAAAAAATAATATCATACTCATGGATAAGAAGACTTAACATTGTGACAATGTCAACACTACCCAAAGCAATCTATAGAAATAATGCTATTCCAATCCAGATTCCAACATCATTCTTTAAAGAGATAGAAAAATAATCACTAACTTTATATGGAAAAGAAAGACATCCTATAAAGCAAAGCACTGCTTAAAGAAGCAAAACATAGGAGACCTCTCACCTTCCAATCTCAAAATTGACTACAAAGCCACAATGGTCAAAATAACCTGGTACTGGTACAATGAAAGATACATGAATCAGTGGAACAGAATTGAGTACCCAGAAGTAAATCTATCCACATACAGTCAGTTGATTTTCAACAAAGGGCCCAGAGGGCCAAAACGGGAAAGAGACCGTCTCTTCAACAAATGGTGCTGGATAAATTGGAAATCCATTTGCAAAAAAGTGAAACAAGACCCACATCTCATACCATATACAAAAATGACCCCAATATGGATTAAAGACCTAAGTGCAAAACCTTAGAACTATACAGATCATCAATGAGGAAATGGGGACAAATTTAGGAGCTCTAATAATGGCATAAATACACTATCAACCATAACTGAAAACACAAAAACAGAAGGCAAAATAGAT